TAGCAGATAAGGACTGGAAGGTATCAGGAAATATTGAGGCATCCAATTCTTTTCCAAGGGAAATATGCCAGTCCAACTACTGCTGCAATGCAAAATAAACTGGAGTATTTATTAACTCAGAGAAACCAAACCCACAATATCCATAAAAATATTTACACCTGATCAAATATATTAAATAAGGCAGCTCCACGAATTTGCTTTTAGATTATAACAACCATGAGGTGACTTTATGAAACATTAAGGAACAGTACAAGACATGCTAGTAGCACCAGAGTTTCAAATGAAGTGTTTTACTCTAAAAATAGTTGTTTCAAGTGTTCAACCTGTTTCTATGCTAGGGCATGAGATATCTGCTTCTGGGAAGTTACAGCACAACAGGTAACTCACAGAGTCAGTAACTGCAGAGCACCCTGCTCTCACATGGCTCTGTTCTTTAACAGCACTGGGAGAATCACCCAGAATTTCCTTAGGAAAGCACCAAAATACAAAACAAAATGGGTATTTGAATTTTTTTGAAGCTGCTGACTACAAAAATACTTTCAGAAAGCCTGTAAACATTTACAGCACAGTATCTGTATTAACACAACATTATTACTTTCAAGGTCAGTATCACACATGCAGTTTCTTGGAGCTACATATTTTGGTGTTATTTTTAACATCTGACAGAGCATCTTGTACTGTTGCAAGCTCTACACTGTTTACAAATACTCCCAAGCTGCAGCTGCTGATCCTGCTAACGTATCTTGCCATAGCAAAAAGAAGAGTCATTTTAATTATCCAGTAATGGCAATTCTTACAGTGCTACATGCATCACATTGTTCTGTACACTGGTTTGGTCATTTTTTTTTTCACCTTTCGACGATGACACAGAACAGAAGGATTTTGTTACAACGAAATCCATTTCTACAAGAGGTCAAAAAAGTCCAAGTGTAGTTGGGGAACGTGTCTAACTCTGTTCAGAAGATGGCTGACCTCTGCACCTTCTCTTAGCAGCTGCTATTTCAGGCACTTCTACATTTGGTTCCCTTTTTATAATTAAAACGCAGAAATTTTATAAAGCTGTTTTGAAATCAGATGTTAAGTTTAGCTTTTAATTCCTCGTTCTCCCAAAATACCTCACCACAGGCAAGAGAGTATAAGGTAGCAGGAAACAACTTACCAACGCAAGCGTTTAGGAACAGCCAGTCTGTCTTTTTCATTCTATTTTTTATCTGCTTTAGCTTTTTGAAGTCAACTTCAAGTTCTTCCTTGCTGCCAACAGCTCCAGCCAGTTCAATTCTTTGGAAGTCCATTTTCACATCGGATTCCCGTTTGGTTGTAGGTGGAGATCTTCTTTGGCTATTACCACCACTACAGCTCCCCCTCCATCGAGCTCTGTCTTGCTCGTTTATGATGGAAGAAGCCTCCTCCGTGTCTGCCAGTTCTATTGCTTCTATGTTGTTAGGTCTGGGATGATCACACACGACACATTTCCTGGCCTTCGCCCAGTTTTCGTACGTACAAACGGAACAAGTCCAGTGCTGAGCCCTCGTGTTCAGTTTGTTTCTGTCATTATACTCCTCACACGGATCAACAGAAAAAGGGACCGGTCTCGACCCAGACCCTGAAGACTGAGGAGACTCCGTGGGACTCCTGGTCCTGCGCTGGGACAAGCACTGCGTACACCGGATGGCCCGGGGCCAGTTCAAGTACGTGCACATGTGGCACGACCATTTATTTGCACTTTCCATACTGTAAGAGGACTTCACCCTTGGTCTCGCACTGGAATCTGGACAGATCAAAGGACTGCTCCCTCCTTCGGTGCTCGCAGGGTCCCAGTCTCTGCCGATGTCGCCGGAGCCGCTCTTGAAGGGCTCCTCGGTGATGATGGTCCCGCTGGGCCTCTGGGCACGACACATGGTGCACTTGATGGCAGAGGGCCAGTTCTCGTAGGTGCAATACTCACAAGCCCATTTCCCTCCCCGCTCTGTCATCCTGCACTCCTGGAGCTGAGCTGCGGCGGGCAGAAAGCTGAGGAACCAGAACACACCGTTAGCACACAGTGGCTGCAGAGCAGCTCTGCTTCGAGGAAACAAACCGCAAAAAGGTAGGTGAGATTTCACCCAGCTGATGGGGACTGCACCAAAGACGAACATCAAGCTGGGCAAGCTTTTGTTCTTGATGCTATTAGAGCATTTAGGAGTAGAGAAACCACTTATCAGAAGGATAAGACTTGAGATAACAGCATTTAAAATGCAGAATTCAGGATTTCCTAGTGCAGAAATGAAAACTCAGCCCTCCATTACTGGAATTTTTTAAATGTGTCTTGGAAGCCTCCGTGCAAATGCAGAAAACAGACACACATAAAGCACTGAGGATAACGAGGAGACCTGTATGGCTACAGAAGCAATTAATTATTAAATTATTAAAATAAAACTCAGTCTGAACACAGCAGTACAAGAAAAGGAACCCAAAGTCAAGATCCTGTGTGGTCTGTTACAAGACCTCACAGATCTGGAAGGACTGAGTGTATCAGGTGGGCAGTTAAGATCATGACTAAGCAGCTCCTGCAGAAAAGTAGGGTGTAGGAGTTTTATGTAAACCATACATTTGAAAAATTATACATGTGCTTAACCAAGACTAGGCCTTGACTGGACATCACTTGTAACAGCAGCATTACCAAGTTAAAACACCACTTGAAAGCAAGCACAAGCTGCCTGTGTTGACAGGCTAACATAGTGTTTTCATGCTACAAATTCAGACTTCAATTCCAACTCACTTTTGTCTCTAATGAAGAGGGGATTCTGTCTTCATGCTGGCTCAGACCTCCTCCTCAGATGAAGGATGAGACTAAGCAGATGACTATTCCTGTAAACAAAATGAAAACAAGGCTCATTATAGGTTTCCTACTGGACCTGAGTAACCAGAAAGTTAATTATTAAATGCCACACCTACGCTGATCTCAATTGACTTGTTTCAACTCAGTCATGACCTGTTGAGACCAACTTACAGACTGGTTAAAATAATTCTAAAGAACCAGTTGCCACACAAGTGATCAATCGTCTGCTGAACTGAAAGAACTAGATCCAAGCAAGTTCACACCAAAGCATCTACAAACACTCTTACTGCAATCTGAAACATAGGATGGGGAAAGAAAAAAAAGCTTTGTGTAGAGGGCATAGTAGAGGGAAAGGGTGAGGCAGGCAGATAAAGGCCAAACAGAAAAATGTACACAGTCTATTTCCTCCCTTACCACAGTATAGTTACTCAACATACAAGACTCAATTATGTGCTATTTTTAAGCATGCAAAACCATTTAAAATACAAATTTGTCCTATCAGTTGGCTGACAATTCTCATTCAACTCATTGCAACTCTCTCAGCTGCCCAAAACACCCAGAGCCTGATACACAAAAACTCGAAAGAGAAGTTACGCAACGGGATTAATTTAAAATTAGAAACAGCCAACTAATCATCAGTTTATACCTGTTCTCCAGTGAAGGAATGTTTTATGAGTTAGCACACTCTCCACTGAAACACCTTCACACGCACCTTGCTCCACCAAGGCACAGCTAAACGTCCACTCCAATTTGTCACCCTTATCCCTGCTGCTGCCCTCCTGCAGACTCCAGCACTCAGCACAGGTTTTTTCCAGCAGCTCGACTCTGATCTATTCACCAGATCAGGTGGCTGCATGAATGAGGGGCTATCGCATGGCCAGGGCAGAGGGGAGGGGCAGAGGGGAGGGCAGGACTATCCTTTTCACCACCAATCCATATTTATGCTGCGTGAAAGCAGATGAGCCATCAGGAATGCAGCAAGCTCTCTCCTAAACCTGGGGTTCTAACACTACTTGTTTGAACAGCCTGCAGAGCCCTTCACTCCCACCCATGCCTCCCAAAACTGTGTCAGACCAAGGAATGCACTGAGAGGGCAATCAGTAGGAACACTGCTTCCCCTCCACTGTTCCTCTCAAGTGTCCATGTCCATGCGTAATGGAGAAAAAGGAGCCAGGTCATACTAGTCCTCATTTTTGTAATAAAATAAGTGAAAAATAAAGATATAAACACAAGAATACAAAGTCAAATTGATTTTACCAAAGGTGACTTCATAAAACAGCTTCTCTACTCCACAAACTAAAGCTTTGCAAACCCTTCCTGTAGGAGTACACTCTACACCAGATTTATCTATTCCACGTGGTCAAGGCCCTTTCCTCCAATACCCAAAATAAGTTTTTAATGATGTTAACATTTCTTCCTAACTTTATTCTCTCTACAAACAGCAGAGTTTAATATTTCCCTGTGAGAAACACAGAACAGTTGAAGATGGTTTTCAGAAAAGAGAAGGAAGCAGCAGAGCATCCAACAGCCACCAGCAGAACCACCAAGGAGCAATTTCATTTGTGCCACCACAGACAACCAAGACATGGCTGTCCCAACACTTCAACACCCAAAACAAGCTTAAGAATCTTTTCTATATGAGCAGCAGCTGGTGGGTTTTGAGTGGGTAATGCTTTCAATGAGAAGCCAGATCTGCACACAGTGGGTTTGTAACTGTAAATGGTCTCTCACCTGCCCCAGTTTGTAGAGCCCTATGCCCAGCAGTCCCCACTGCAAACAAATCCCAACCCACACTTGGGATGGGGCAAGAAAACAAAACATCTCCAGTTTTACTGACATCAGAATTGGGAAAGCAGATTGTTGCTCAAGTTGAAAAGCAGCTGGTTGCAAAAAAACAACCTGAACAAATCCTGAGATAGTATTTGTGAAACTAAATGGCAGAGTACATACCACGTTACAGAACAGCTTTCATGTGTATCATGACATCAGGTTTTTAGCTGCAATTATTCTCTGAGCCCCTTAAAAAGCTAGATGCTTTCAGACATAATTCTTAGAGACACTGAGTATCTGCAGCTTTGAAAGCCTGAGATATGAGCTTGCAACCTCCAAACATGAGGCCCCAGGTTATTATGAAGTAAAGAACATAAAAGGGCTCAATTGAGCAATGCAATTTCACTTCTCTGATAGCTCTGCCAACACCCACTACGGCCCAGCTAGGTGAGGAAAAGCAGCACTTTCACATATGAGTTTTCTTTTATTTTTAGGGCTTGGTCTGACTCCCAGCTGCACACCATCCCAGGGACACCAGAACACTCTGATTTACTGGTGATACAGGATCAGCACCCAGCCAACCAGCAGTTGGAAGCTTGCTACATTTTTTTTCAGAATTACCTCTTTGCCCCTGTCTTCAAGTTAACTTGTTATTTTAGACTCTTCAGGTGGAGAAGTTGAATCATGTAGTACCTCCTCTCATGGAGAATAGCACAACAGTGACTGTGAAGTGCAGGTGCATGATTTAACAGCCAAAAAGCTTGAGCAGACAAGAAATTAAAACCCACAGAACTCCAAGCAAGTTCAAATTGATCAGTTCATACGGTGTGCTAAATACCTTCTGGACAGACTTAACTCAGTACAATAAACAGCAGAATATATTAAATTCTGATAACAAAGGAAAAAAACTCAAAACATTATTAGACTACTTTTTTACTAAAGTCAGTCAGAAAAGATCACCTAGAACAGACAATTTTTCTTTTGCTTTGTCTGAACTTACAAGAATATTCTTTTTAGGTGCATGGGAAAACACAAAATGCCATACAGAGATGAGGAAGAAACAATGAAATCTTCAAGTAACATTCTTCTGACAGGATACATCATATCCTTCACTTTAATTACTGACTATGTCCAGCAGTTATTTTTTCTTTGGCTCAAACAAGGAACAATATGGATCTCCATTTCATTAAACAATCAAACCCTTCCCCAAAAACAGGCCAGATGCTGATTTTGACCAGTCTACACTAGGGATTTTTTGCTGGCATCTGTGCTGGCACAAACCTTACACAATTATACTGATCACATCAGTGTTCCCACCTTGCAAGGCAAGAGAGATCCACCCTCCATCCCCCCTGATGCAGCTGTCTCTCTTAGGGGGCTCCAAAAAGAATGGCAGGCTGGTTGGTTTATTTTAAAACAGTGAAGCAACTTTTCAGAGATACAGACTATGCAGAAGCATCTTGTTCTGAAAGAAAGGTCTCGATAACCAAATGCAGGATCTATTCACTCAGCAGTTTAGGAGTGCAGAAGTAACACCTTTCACAGATTCAACCACAAAAAGAAGGGGGGAGGAACAGGACTGGGAGTGAAAGCCTGAGATCAAACAGCAGCACTTTCACTGACTGTAGTCTTTATGTAATATGAAACAGTGCATTTAAACAAACTTCTAGCAAGAAAGGGTCTCAATCTGACAGCTCTAATTGCTCACTAACAGCTGGATAACGTTGCTGGGAAGTTTATACATACACATGATAGACAAACAGCTTCTTAAGAAAAACTCCCTGTGATCAACCCTGCATAATTTGACACATTTTCAGCGTTCCCCCTTGTACGTCACTAACTCAGGTTCTCTTCCAATTACCCATAAAAAAAACCAGCTACCTTCTTAGAGCAGTGAAGTTCATTTAGACACAAATAAGCTTGCTAATTAAAGTGGTAAATGGAAAACCTGTTAAAATCACACATCTGGATTATCACCTCAAATGGTTGTGCTGAAATAAGCACCAGACTGAATTCAGACAGTTGTGGATGGTTTTCCTCTGTAGAAGTGCAGAACCTTTTTAAAGATGCAGGAGATGAATGTGAGTCAACTCTTCACAGCAGGAAACAAAGCAAGGGTTTGATTTCACCATTTCCAAACAAATACACTTACAAACCCTGCCACTCTTGTTGCTGGCTCCAACCACCATATCTTTTTAAAGCTCACCTAAGGTGTACCAAGGGACAGATCGAATAAAAATTTTGCTAATTTTTAAAAACAGCCAGCAGGAAGGTCTAAAAGGCAACAGAGCTGTACACAAGCTTAAATCAAAAAGGCCAAATTGTTTCTTTCAAACTTATAAACTCTAGGCAAACCTCCTTGACAATTTCTTACATAAAAGATAT